CCCGGCGCGGCGCGGCGCGGCGCGGCGCGGGGAGGAGCGTGGGGCGGCCCCGGTGGCGCTGCCCTTGCGCGGCGCCGCGGTCGCGCCGAGCACCCGCGCCGAACGGCAGGAACGCAGCGGGAAACGCGCTGAGAGCCCACGTATATACATATATATATATACACACACACACATTACATATATATATATATATAGGGGTTATATAAATACATTTTTAAAAGTAAACCCCTTTTATTGGGTGCCCGACTCCAATGGAGTTTCCATGCTCCAGTGCGGAGTTTTCCCGCTGCGGTGCCGCGTTGGGGCTGCCTGCTGGGAGCCAGGGCAGTACGGAGCCGGGCTGGAGCGGGATCCCGAGCGGGGCTGGAGCGGGATCCCGAGCGGGGCCGGACGCGCCCCCCGAACGGGCTCCGCGCGCCCGGGACGGCCGGGGGTGACGCTGCCTGAAACGGCCCGTGCGGAGCGTGAGTTCGTGGCGACTGGGAGCAGGAGTGCTGAGTGCTGCCTTGCCCGGGGGCCGTGAGGGAAACCTCATGGGATTTACACCCTGCTGCTACTTCAGTGCGAGTTTAGTGCTGAGCCCTTGAGTTAGCAGGAAAAAATGTCAAGTTAGATGTTAGATGTCAATTTAAAAACGTGTGTTTTTAAGGAGTGAAGGGATGGAGTCAGCCATGCAGCCTCCGTGAGGGGGATTCAGGTGGGTAACCAGGAAGAGCAGCAGCTTCAGGTGCCTCTTAATTTTTCCTCTGCRTGTCCCCAAGTAACTGAGCTGTGCCAGCTCTCTTAACCTTTAGAACTTGCAAAGTTAAATCACTTCAGATACTATAGATTATGTTAAATTCTTAATGTTCAGAGTAAAGTGTGCTCTTAGTATTTGGAATTGTATAGAAGCTTCCCAAACACTCTCTGGTGAGATACGGTAACTCAGTAAGTCATGTTTTTATAATACCCTAAATCCTGTTATTGGTAGACCATGTTTAAATGGACCTCAGTAATGGTTAGGCTGTGATGTACTGATACATGAATCTTTTAAATCAACTGTTTTGTTGCTTTGAGGTCTTTTTTTTCCCCTTGTCAGTCTGATGTGATGCAAGACAAATTGGGCTGGTGTTATGATGGAAATCACCATAGAATTATATGATGGAAAACCCCTGATAGCTTTTGTTTGTTTGATGGTTTTCCCAGGCACAGAGAGAGCTGCAGAAAGTCATCCCAGAGCTTGGAGGTAGGAGCCATGTACGAGCAGTGAACGTGTGGCAGAGCTTGAGCTCATGGACGGAGCTGGGAGGCCGTGGCTGTCACTTTGAGCTGGGCTCCCGCTGCTGCAGCGGCACCGGGGGGGCTCCTGCTTGSGCCCGACTTGTGTCCCGCTGCCCTGATGTTGGGAAGGGTTTCCCGTGCCTGCCCCAGTGGGAGGYGCTGGGTGGGATCGGGATGCTCCCGTTCTCCTGTGGGGCAGCGACGCC